GGAATGTGCGTTCAATCTCTGGATCTATAGGGACCAAGTCTTGATCAGGTGCTCCTTGCATGCAAGCTCTGATATGGCAAAAATTACACGAAAAGTCAATATAAAATAACAATCAAATAAATCTAGTAAGATTAATAAGTACTAAAATGAATAAGTTCGAATTAGTGTCACAAAAGTTAGAATTAAATCTAAAATTTAATCCCCGGCAACGGCGCCAAAAACTTGTTCGCAAAATTATTTCTTCTATATTTTAAAACCCACCGCAAGTGTACGGTTCGTTAACAAGTAGTAAAGTGGACTATGAGTCCAAGTATCGTTCCCACGAGGATTAAATTAGCTCTAATTAGACTAATGTGACCTTAACCGAATCTAATTGAATGAAAATTTGGTTTAAATATGAAAACCCTAATTTTGGGAGAAATCCCCAATTCGAAACCCTAATTGCAAAGATAACCCTAATTTCAAAATTGGAAACTCTAAATTCAAAATTTCACTGATCTAATGAAATAAATATGCAACTGAAATGTAAATACGTAATTTTAGAATTACTGTATTGAAATGAATTGAAATGAAATCATTAAGAACTTGAATCCCCAATTGATTATTAAAAACCCTAATTTCACAAATTAAAAAATAGATGAACAAAATGCCAATTCAATGTCCCTAAATTATCCAATACACTCTCTCGATATATATTGAATCTACTCTTACACATCACCAGCCTATATTTCTATGGATGATGCAATGTATAAGAATGCATGACTTTTTATGAACATTTTCATGAATTGCATAAAGCATAGAGGTAAGTTTCCATCCCCTATCGGACCCTATGTCGATTTATATTCTATCGAATTTATTCCCCTTCTTTCGAATGCAAAGAATAAATCATCTACAATCACATAATAATTGGCCAAATAATTATGGAAACATTCAAATCATATAAATCAAACATTTGTCCAATCGAAATTAATATTGAATTTATGAAATAACACTCTATGCGACCGCATAGAAGGAATCTATGCGGTCGCATAGATCAATTTGTTTGGGCTCATTGAGTCCCTGAAGCCTTCTATGCGACCGCATAGAAGGTTACACTATGCGGTCGCATAGAGGTAACATCTATGTAGTTTGTTCAATTTGGTCCCTGAACTTCTTTGTTGCTTCTCTTGACTTCTTTCTTCGATTTCTTCATCTTTTCAACAAATTTTATCTTCCAATTGATGATTGATACCATCAATTCTTATGCCCCTCATTCGGCATATCTTTTGAGTATTTGCGCTTTAGTCCTCCAACTTTCAATTGTCTTCATTTCAGTCCCTCTTCAATATTTTCTTCTTCCAGTTGTTTTGCTTTGTCATTGAGCTCATACTTGGCATGTCTTCCCTCTCTTTTTGCATTTAGCTCAACTTTTCAATATTTGCACCTTTGGTCCTCGACCTATCAAATTGTTGCGTTTTGGTCCTTCTTCGGCTCTTTTCTCCTGAATTCCACAATTTCCATTGAATTACCTACAATGCATAAATTTAACTGGATTAAGTCACAATTCAACCATTTTATCCATGTTTAAGTCATGTTTATGATCCAAATAAGTGTGTAAAAACACACTTATCAATATTGAAAGGTAAAAACGTTTTGTGTTAATTACCCATTATTAATTTTCCTCCTTTAATATACAGTCTTAATTACATTATTTATTGACAAATCATTATCAGTCAATTAAATTTGTTACAAATAGGAAATCCTGTATTACAAATTACTGTGTGCAGTGGCGGATCCAGGATTTTGAGTCAGCACGAGCAATCGTTGAGGGCCAATCATCGGCCCAATAAAATATTACAAGCTCGTTTGATGTAATTTTTTTTTTTGGCAAAAAATGCATTTTGGAAAATAGTGATTTGATGGAAAATATTTGGTTAAAAATAAGAAAATTTTTTGAATTTCGTGTAATATTATTTTATTGAAAAATATATGGTTGAAAATAAAAGAGGGAAAAATATATTCTGAAATAAATGGGAATCAAGCAAGACCTAAAATTTAAACATAACAATTATTTTGTTAAAATTCAACATATATAATTTTGTTAAAACAATAAACTATATTCATCAAATGACATTGTTGCCAAGTTTTATATAATTCAAAAGAAGAGCACGAGTTCAAATTTGTATTGTTGCATTAAAACAAGCTATGATCTAATATATAAAAATTTGTTAAATCTATTATCACAATTCAACGACCAGCATAATGGTCAAACCATTAGTAATTTTAACAATAGCCCAAGGTTCGAATCCCCTCCTCCTCATTCCATTAATTTTTGGTAAAAATTGTAATACTAAAAAAATAGAACAAAAAAGTTGATTGATGAAGAATTGAATCTCGGACCTCCAAGAAGTAAAAACCAGCACTCACCAACTTGGGCAGAGGGTATGGTTGAACAAAAAATGATAATCATAAATATAACCTAAAAAAATTCATCTATTCCCAACCAAAAAAAATGGCTGCCGGCGGATCCAGCATGCGCGACCGCTGGTGCTCGCCAGGTGCTGGATCCGCCACTGACTGTGTGACAGGAATGCTGGTTATGATATGCTCAAGAAAATGAAGGTACTTCTCTTGGCTTCTTCCTTTAGGTTCAAAAAGTTGGCCGCATTTTCTTGTCTTCACTTCAGGTCAATGAGAATCTTTTGACATACTATGGCATCTTTGCATCAACATTCATTATGTGTTGGTTGGACAATGCTGGTGATTATGAAAAAATAAAATATTAGACAATATCTAATGTTTAGAAAACCTACCTCCCATAGATCTGAAAAAGTTAAAGGGTCTGGTGTTGAAAGATTAAATCGAGGTCGAACTATTAATAATATATAAAATAATTAATACATAAATATATCAAAAAATTTTG